ATTTAGTGAGTGACTTACTGACTGATTTACTGAGTGACTTACTGACTGATTTACTGAGTGACTTACTGACTGATTTACTGAGTGACTTACTGACTGATTTACTGAGTGACTTACTGACTGATTTACTGAGTGACTTACTGACTGATTTACTGAGTGACTTACTGACTGATTTACTGATTGATTTACTGATTGATTTACTGACTGATTTACTGACCAACTTACTGACTTGACTGACTAACTTATGGACTGATTGACTTGACTGAGTGGCTTACTGACTTGACTGATTTACTTATTATCTGACATTCATAAGTGGAAACAAATGGTGTTCTGCTTTCCGGCAGTAGCCTGGAACCTAACCTGCCGTATACATGGGGCCCTACTATATAACTCAAAAAAGACAAAGTGCTATACTGTGCCTGTAGATATGAGGCATAAGCATAACTGGCAGGTAATACACATTTTGGCCACAGTTGTATCATGCCACTTGTGCAGCCATAACAACTCTGCTTCATATGTAATACCTGTTTGTCTAACTAACGATCATGTTAATGGGGGAGAGACAGACGGACAGACAGAGATACAAACAGACAGCATCGAGCCGAACATTTATATTACACTTGTTGCAGAATAGACTCCCTCTCTACTAACTCAGGGTACTCATTGGTGATAGAACATTCTGGCAGGATGACACTACCAGTGGCATCAAAATTACAAGAATGTGGCATGAATGTTGCACATGGGTTATCATCAAGGTTTGTGATATTTTCTCAATCACTTGTGGCCACATCGATCTCAAAGCCACTAAACTCTGGGTCAGTATCATTTTCCTTGAAAAAGGAGTGTTAATATGACATGGCATTAGTGAATCCCTGGTGTTTGCCACACTGCTCTAGGTGGCGCTAAGTTGAACTGGTGCTCCCACAAAGTACTAAGTGATCCCAGATTTTTTAATACTGCACACACTGAGTGTTTAGACCCATTCTATGCTGCCTAAGCCTATCAGGCCTCTGGTACCAAATTTGAATGGAGGAAAATAGAACACTAGCACTCCAGATCAAAATCTGGAGTTTTTTTTTTTTTTTTTTCCCCAACAAGTCGGCCGTCTCCCATTGAGGCAGGGTGACCCAAAAAAGAAAGAAAATCCCCAAAAAGAAAATACTTTCATCATCATTCAACACTTTCAGCTCACTCACACATAATCACTGTTTTTGCAGAGGTGCTCAGAACACAACAGTTTAGAAGCATATACAGTGGACCCCCGGTTTGCGATGCTATCGGTATCCGATAAATCCGGTAACCGATGCATTATATCGCAGAAAATTTGCCTCGCTTTCCGATACAAAACCCGGTATGCGATGTGGTTCGTACGAGACGTGTCCATGTGTGGCCTGAACTGCCCCGTGTGTGCCAGTGTTTACAAGCCAGCCAGTGTGCGCGCATCTAAGGATACATTCGGTACATTCCATATTATCCATATTATCACTGTTTTTGGTGCCTGTTTTTTGCAAAATAAGTCACCATGGGCCCCAAGAAAGCTCCCAGTGCCAACCCTTCGAGACCAAGGGTGCTAATGACTGTTGAAATGAAGAAAGAGATAATTGCAAAGTACGAAAGTGGAGTGCGTGTGTCGGAGCTGGCCAGGTTGTATAGTAAACCCCAATCAACCATCTCTACTATAGTGAGCAAGAAAACGGCAGTCAAGGAAGCTGTTCTTGCAAAAGGTGCAACTGTGATTACCAAACAGCGACCGCAAGTGTTAGAAAATGTTGAGAGACTGTTATTGGTGTGGATAAATGAAAAACAGATAGCAGAGATAAGCATCTCTCGAGCAATCATTTGTGAAAAGGCTAGGCAGTTGCATGACGATTTGGTAAAAAAATTGCCTGCAACTAGTGGTGATGTGAGTGAATTTAAGGCCAGCAAAGGTTGGTTTGAAAGATTTAAGAATCGTAGTGGTATACATAGTGTGATAAGGCATGGTGAGGCTGCCAGTTCAGACCATAAAGCGGCTGAAAAATATGTGCATGAATTCAAGGAGTACATAGAGGCTGAAGGATTGAAACCTGAACTAGTGTTAATTTGTGACAAAACAGGCCTGTTTTGGAAGAAATTACCAAGCAGACCTACATTACTCAGAGGAAAAGGCACTCCCAGGACATAAGCCTATGAAAGACAGGCTTACTCTGTTGATGTGTTCCAATGCTAGTGGTGATTGCAAAGTGAAGCCTTAATTGGTGTATCACTCAGAAACTCCCAGAGCGTTCAGGCAAAAGAATGTCCTCAAGGCTAATTTGTGTGTGCTGTGGAGGGCAAACAGTAAGGCATAGGTCACTAGGGACTTTTTCTATGACTGGTTACACCATGCATTTGCCCCCAGTGTGAAAAATTCCTTAATTGAAAAGGAATTAGACCTTAAGTGCCTCCTGGTATTAGACAATGCCCCTGGTCATCCTACAGACTTGTCAGAGCGACTTTGTGGGGACATGAGTTTCATTAAGGTCAAGTTTTTGCCTCCTAATACCACTCCTCTCCTGCAGCCCATGGACCAGCAGGTCATTTCCAACTTCAAGAAACTGTACACAAAAGCTGTTTGAAAGGTGCTTTGAAGTGACCACAGAAACTCAATTGACTCTAAAGGAGTTTTGGAAGGATCACTTTACTATCCTCAGTTGTGTAAAACTTATAGGTAAGGCTTGGGAGGGAGTGACTAAGAGGACCTTGAACTCTGCCTGGAAAAGACTGTGGCCAGAATGTGTAGACAAAAGGGATTTCGAAGGGTTTGAGGCTAACCCTGAGAAGCCTATGCCAGTTGAGGAATCCATTTTGGCATTGGGGAAGTCCTTGGAGTTGGAGGTTAGTGGGGAGGATGTGGAAGAGTTGGTGGAGGAGGACAATGAAGAACTAACTACTGATGAGCTGCTAGATCAACTTCAACAGCAAGAGGCCAGACCTGAGGAAATTGCTTCGGAGGAGGGGAGAGAGAAATTGAAGAAGTTGCCTACTTCAAAGATTAAGGAAATCTGTGCAAAGTGGCTTGAAGTGCAAACCTTCATGGATGAAAATCACCCTCAGACAGCTATTGCAAGCTGACAATGTTGTGAACCACTTTAGGAAAGTCATAAAGGAACGAGAGGTACAGGCCTCTATGGACAGATATGTTGTGCGACAGAGGTCCAGTGACTCTCAACCTGGTCCTAGTGGCATTAAAAGAAGAAGGGAAGTAACCCTGGAAAAGGACTTGCTATCTCAAGTCCTAATGGAGGGGGATTCCCCTTCTAAATGCTAACACCATCCACACACACCCCTCCTCCCATCCCATCAATCATCACCAGATCTTCATTAAAGGTAAGTGTCAATTATTCTTTCGTTATTTATTGTTATTGTTGTTATTGTAATTACTATTCTATTGCATTAAACTTAATATTTCATGTGGTAAATTTTTTTTTTTTCATACTTTTGGGTGTCTTGCACGGATTAATTTGATTTCCATTATTTCTTATGGGGAAAACTGATTCGCTTTCCGATATTTTTGGTTTACGATGAGCTCTCAGGAACGGATTAGTATCGCGAACCTGGGGTCCACTGTACTTATAAAGATACACAACATATCTCTCCAAACTGCTAATATCTGGAGTGCTAGCAGTAATTCATATATCAATGATTTAACAGTTCAAAGTTTAAACATCACTAATATTGTAAATCATTATAATATTTACAATTTCCAGATACTTAGCCTTACACTCTAGTAGTATGTTTGTTGAGTATTCTTCCATACTCAGTCTTCAGCTCCCAGTACACTCTAGTAGTATGTTTGTTGAGTTTTCTTCCTTACTATTTCTCTGCAACTCCCATAATGCTCTACATACAAGGGGCTTTTGGCATGCACACTCAGCTATTATATTCCATTGTACTACTATGTATCATGTCAAAATAATTTTTTTTTTTTTTTTTTCTCTCTCTCTCTCCAACAAGTCGGTCGTCTCCCACCGAGGCAGGGTGACCCAAAAAAGAAAGAAAATCCCCAAAAAGAAAATACTTTCATCATCATTCAACACTTTCACCACACTCACACATTATCACTGCTTTTGCAGAGGTGCTCAGAATACAACAGTTTAGAAGCATATACATATAAAGATACACAACATATCCCTCCAAACTGCCAATATTATTATTATTAATATTATATTCATGGGTAAATGCCAAACCCATAGTCATGCAGCACCTGGGAAATGATCCAAGAAGGTAAGGATAGTTCCAATTCCTTTGATCAAGGGCCCTTCACTAGCATCAAGGTGCCTCATCCCCCACATCTACCATTTTTGGATTAGAAGTGCATTTGTTTTACAGTAGACCATTATATTCCTGAAAATACCTTGTTAGGTATATCTGTGTTAGATAATCCGAAGAACTTGTGGGAAAAATAGGGTTAAGTTCCTGGGAGCCCCCCCCCCCCCCAAAAAAAAAAAAAAAAAAAAAAAAACTTTTTTTTTTATTATTCATACCTGCAGATCTTACAAAAATAAAAATGAATATACAGTATAATTGTTGTTTATTGTTGTGATGTATTATGTTTTTCTATTGCATAAGGCTACAAATGCAACAGAAATAATAGTATTTCTTACCTTAAATTGTGGCTTCTGGTATTTGTTGATGATTGTGAAGAGAGTGGAGAGTTATGTTGTGACTGCTGGACTGAGGTGGATGGTAGAGGTTCTGGTACTAAAGTCAGTGGTTGTACTGGAGTGTGCATAAATTCTATAATGGATCTCTGGGCTGTTTTACCCTGCAGTACATTATACATTATATGGTTAGGCATCATCACCTGCTCTTAGATACCACTTCAGAGGACTTCTGGATTTGTCAGGGTCCTCTTCAGTGAAAAGTCTAACTTTAACTTTAAGTCAACAAGTCAGTCAAGTCTAAGTTAAAAATCAGTAAATCAGGTCAGTCAGTCAGTCAGTTTATTCAGGTAGTTTTGATCTATGTGTCATTCTTTTCAGGAGATGAAAAGATCACAACACAGCTCGCAAACACGGCTAGCTCCGAGAAGAGTCATATGAGATGCATATTCATGGAGGTCTGGGTCAGGGGTGAGTGGCAGGGAAGCTAGGTAGGTCTCTCCCACAGAGACAGTGGCCTAGCCCAGAGCCAGGCGGCCTGAAAGTCAGAGAAATACCCCTGTAGCCTGCGGCTGACACTCCAGATTTTTTCCCTGCTCACAAACTGAACTGTGCTAATTTTACGAAGTGTTGTATAAAGTTCTTTCTTCTTTCAACACACCAGCCATATCCCACCAAGGCAGGGCGGCCCAAAAAGAAAATCGAAAGTTTCTCCTTTAAACTTAGTAATTTATTCGGGAGAAGGGGTTACTAGCCCCTTGCTCCCGGCATTTTAGTCGCCTCTTACAACACACATGGCTTACGGAGGAAGAATTCTGTTCCACTTCCCCATGGAGATTAGAGGAAATAAACAAGAACAAGAACAAGAACTAGAAAGAAAATAGAAGAATACCCAGAGGGGTGTGTATATATATGCTTGAACATGCATGTGTAGTGTGACCTAAGTGTAAGTAGAAGTAGCAAGACATACCTGAAGTCTTGCATGTTTATGAGATAGGCAAAAGACACCAGCAATCCTACCATCATGTAAAACAATTACAGGTTTTCGTTGTACACTCACTTGGCAGGACGGAAGTACCTCCCTGGGCAGTTGCTGTCTACCAACCTACTACCTAGGTTGCATAAAATTATGCCACAATATTTCAGTATTGTAATAGCCAAAATGTGTAAAATAGACCTGTGTAATATAACAGTCTACTGTATGTTATTTTTGTTGCTGCATATTAGAAGTGCATTTGTTTTTTGTTTTTTTTGTTGTTGCTGATTTTAGAAGTGCACTTATGTTATTTTTTGTGGCTGTATATTAGAAGCGCATTTTTTTTTTTTTTTTTTTCTGAATATTAGAAGATCATTTAAGCTATTTTTGTTGCTACATATTAGGGTTGATGGATAGCATAAGTGAGAAATATCATATGTAAGGATGCTTGATATTGTTGTAACAGGTGACGCAGGATGGTGGCTTCAAGAGTGACCATGACTGGAGTCTCCTGATCTACTATGCTAATCCCTACAAGACTCACATAATCCGTGAAACTGGTGACCGCTCTACCACCGGACTAATGAAAGACGATCTCATCATGATCAATCTTTTTCCTGAGGTTCCATCTAATAGTTACTCCAACAAAAATGAGATCATTTTCATAATTGATCGTTCAGGTAAAAATTAAAAAATATTTTATGTATAATATTTTTAAGTTTATTTTTATTAAAATGAGAATCATTGGTTTGGCAAATAGTTGTTCAAAACACACATGAAAAATTTTTAAATTACTTTTTTGTTGGAGTGTGAAAATAGCATTCTGATTTTGTTTAATATATAGCATAGCCAAACTTTCCAAATATTAAGTAAGAAATTTGTGCACATGACAGAGGGAGGGAGGGGGTAAAGGAGGTTTTGTGTGCGAGGGGCTTGGACTTCCAGGAGGCGTGTGCGAGCGTGTTTGATAGGAGTGAATGGAGACGAATGGTTTTTAATACTTGACGTGCTGTTGGAGTGTGAGCAAAGTAACATTTATGAAGGGATTCAGGGAAACCGGCAGGCCGGACTTGAGTCCTGGAGATGGGAAGTACAGTGCCTGCACTCTGAAGGAGGGGTGTTAATGTTGCAGTTTAAAAACTGTAGTGTAAAACACCCTTCTGGCAAGACAGTGATGGAGTGAATGATGGTGAAAGTTTTTCTTTTTCGGGCCACCCTGCCTTGGTGGGAATCGGCCAGTGTGATAATAAAAATAAATTACAGATATTGTAGAATCCTTAGCAATTGATGCCATTAAGTGATTTAACCCTTTCAGGGTCCAAGGCCCAAATCTGGAGTCACGCACCAGTGTCCAAGAATTTTCAAAAAAAAAAATTTGTTATTTTTTCCTTATGAAATCGTAGAGAATCTTTTTGTGAAGGTAATAAAACAAAAAGTACGAAATTTGGTGGAAAATTGACGAAATTATGCTCTCGCAAATTTTGATGCGTCAGTGATATTTACGAATCGGCGATTTTGCCGACTTTGACTCCCATTTTAGGCCAATTACATTATTCCAATGAACCAAATTCTTAGCTATTTCACTAGTATTACTTCTATTCTATCGATTGAGCACAAGAAATCGCCAAGTCAACTGTTTCAACTACAAAATAAAGTGATCGGAAATTGTTAATTTGGCCAATTTAACACAAAGTTCAAAATATTCCAATTTCAAAATAGGGTCCAGAATGAACAATGTAGGCATTCCTGGCACTAAACTAACATTTCCTCTGTTCATTAGTTATGTTTTGAGGCTTTACAAATAAATTCCATTTTGATTTTTTATTCACATAATGAATTTTTATTCACACCAAAAAATAGAAGATTTACTGTTATGCAATACTGTAATAATTGTATAAATATCATCACCATATTTGTGAATGTATATTAGACCCACCAGCTGACGTGTATTAGACGTGTGAGGTCGTTTGTTTACTCTTGAATATCGGCAAAAATTTAACATTTCTGCTACTTTGAGCTCAGTTTCAAGCCATTTCCAGTGCTAAAACCAATCAAAATCATCTCTATTTCTGTAATATGTCTTCCATTCTATCAAATGAGACCAAGAAATCGCAAATACAACTATAAAAAACATACGAAAAAACACTGCAAAGTTGCTGTTTTAATCGAAAAATCTTGATTTCATTTTTTTTCTCTCATACACAGTGTGCTGCAGGATCTGTTTTATGTGGTGCACACATACCACATAGATGTATTCTCTCATATCTAGGCCCAAATGTACCACTCAGTTTATCAGAGTGAGCTGAGCTCATGGCGTAGATCTACGGTTTGGACCCTGAACGTAAAGCCGTAGATCTACGGGACGGACCCTGAAAGGGTTAAGAAAGACAGGCGAGTAAACACTGGGACATTTACTAGAAAACTTCACTCCTGGGACCTTGATAACTTCTAACTAGAAGTGATCAAGGTCCCAGGACTGAAGTATTTTCTAATATATATGCCCTAGTGTTTGCTCAACTGAACACAACAGGAAAGGTTCTAGACAGTCCTGTCTAGACATGACCAAGTCCATTTTATTATCCTTATATAATCATGAAATGTATTGGTTAGGCAAAATTTATCACAAACATGACAGATGTTTCTTAAAGATTATAAAGGCACAAAACTGCAGCTGGAACGATACACAGATAACTCTCCCATAGGAGACTGAAACAAATGACATTTCTGACTTTTCAGTCAACTGACTGAGGCCTTCAGCTGGCTTACCAGCTTACTCCTTTAACCCTTTCAGGGTTTCGGACGTACTAGTATGGCTTACTCACCAGGGTTTTTGATGTACTAGTACACCTAAATTCTAGCTTTCTCAAATCTTGTGAGAGAAAGCTGGTAGGCCTACATATGAAAGAATGGGTCTGTGTGGTCAGTGTGTGCAGTATAAAAAAAATCCTGCAACACAGTGCATAATGAGAAAAAAAACTTTGACCGTGTTTTTGGATTAAAACAGCGAATTGGCACTGTATTTTTGTATGATATTTATTGTTGCATTCTAGTTTTCCTGGTCTCATTTTATAGAATGGAAGACATATTACAGAAATTGAGATGATTTTGACTGGTTTTACAATGAAAAGTACCTTGAAATTGAGCTCAAAGTAGCAGAAATGTTCGATTTTTACCAAAGCTCAAAAGTAAACAAATCATGCTACGCATCCAATACACATCAACTGGTGAGTCTAATATTCTTTCACAAGTGCGCTGATATTATTTATACCATTTCTACACTAATGAAGTAGTCTGCATAACAGTAAATCTTCTGTTTTTTGTGAGAATAAAAATTCAAAGTGGAAAGCAAAAGGATGTAAGAGGGGCCTGGGGATGTGACTAATGAACAGAGGAAATGTTATTTTAGTGCCAGGAATGTCTGTCTTGTTTATGTGGACCCTATTTGGAAACTGGCATCTTTTGAAATTTGTGTGAAATTGTCAAAATTGCTAATTCTGACCACTTTATTGGATAGTTGAAATCGGTAAATGGGTGGTTTCTTGTACTCATTCGATAGAAAAAATGGAGTTCTAGCAAAATAGATATGATTTTTGTCGACTAGTACACTGGAATTGGCTGAAAATAGGGCTCAAAGTGGGCAAAATTGCCGATGTGTAAACATCGTCGAGATCGCTAACTTCGCGAGAGCATAATTCCGTAAGTTTTCCATCAAATTTCATACTTTTGGTGTCATTATGATCGGGAAAAGATTCTTTTTTTTTTTTTAGGGCCTGGCGATCCTGAAAGGGTTAAAAATGAAGATACTATTATTAAATGTATACTTTATGCAGTTCTCTATGCTGTATCCCCCTTTTTAAAGTTTCTTACTGTTACTTAATAAAGACTCTTGATCCAAAGAAATGTAGTTGCCCTTATATTTTTCAAATCAAACTTGATTTCCTCACTTTCCCAGCACACTGTGTGACTTCTGAATGATTAGTATTTCCCTGTAATGATAGTAGTAATAATCTACATTGTATTCTATTTCCATGATGTTGGTTGTCAACTAACAATTTTAATGTCCATTACTTCTTTCATGCATATCCTTACAAGCTTACCATGCATCCTCTCTTGATGTCCAGCAGTGCTGAGTGATCCACATAGGTTTAGTATACAGCAGATATGATAGAGGGCATAATATCAGCGGTTTAGGATTGTATATTAGTCCTCCTGAATGTGCATGTTTTTAGAGGAGGCAAGAGATACGTTTAATTATATTTATGGTGAGATTAAGAGGTAGATGGGGTACAAGGAGAGTGATGTGAAAATGAATAAATTAAGGAGACAGGGTATAAGTGACTGTTATAATAATAATAATAATAATAATAATAATAATAATAATAATAATAACTGCAGTGTTTGTGTGCAGCAGAAGTTTGTGGGTATAGTAAGGTGGGTGTGGATGGGAAAAGGAGCAATTGGTAGAATGATGAAGTAAAGAGGGTGGGTGGTCAGGGAGAAAAAGTTAGCATGTGAGAGGTTTTTAGAATGTGGAAGTGAAATATGGAGGGCAGAGTACAGTGGACCCCCGCATAACGATTACCTCAGAATGCGACCAATTATGTAAGCGTATTTATGTAAGTGCGTTTGTATGTGTATGTTTGGGAGTCTGAAATGGACTAATCTACTTCACAATATTTCTTATGGGAACAAATTCGGTCAGTACTGGCACCTGAACATACTTCTGGAGTGAAAAAATATCGTTAACCGGGGGTCCACTGTATAAGGAGATAAGAGAAGTTAAGAGGGGTTCTGTGGCTCATTTGGCAGCACACACCACTCGCATATTGGGTGTTCATGGTAGAAACATTGGGCAAGTTTCCTTACACCTGCTGTCCCTGTTTATCTAGCAATAACTAGGTACTTGGGTGTTAGTGGACTGTTGTGGGTGGCATTCAGGGGGGTGGTAGTATATCTTAAGATAGGGCTGGGCTTTTAAATGAGCTGAGGTAGGATAACAACTCTTAGCATTAAAAATGGATTTGTGTAAAAAAAAAGAGGGAATGGAAAAGGAAAACAAGTTAGAGAATGACTAAGGTTTTATCAATAAGTTTTGCTGAGAATAAGAAATCTGGAATGAGATTAATAAGTTGAGGAAGCCTAGAGAACAAATGTATTTAGCAGTTATAAACATAAGATGGGAGGTGGAGGCACTGGGAAGAAGGGAATAGTTTGAAGCACTGTTAAATGTTGAAGATGAGACTGATTTCATGCATTAGGCAGGGACATAAGAAATTTTAACTTAATTAAAAAAAAATATCATTTTACATTGAGTACTCTTGCTAACACTTACCAAGTATTAAACTTTATTTAATTAATATATGCAGGAGACAAAGAACCTTATCCATGGAAGCAAAAAGGCTAGTGTATCAAAATATAATGGTGCCAACATTTATATGGGTATGAAATATGGGTTGTGAATGTTGCATCAAGAAGAGGCTGGAGGCAGTGGACATGATACAACTATTGTAGACTTAGCTGACATCTTTGGCATATTACATAGAAAGCCCCTGGTTATACAAAGCATTTGGACAACTTGGATTAATCTTGTTCCCCAGAATGTGACCCGGCTAACACCTGAGTACCTACTTGCTGCTAGGTGAACAGGGACAGCAGGTGTAAGAAAACATGCTCAGTGTTT